GTGGCCAAGCCGGTGGTTAAACTCTACAAGTGAGTGCGCTTCAGTGTTTTCGTGGCAGTCGGCCCATTAGAGAGGTGTGGAGTCTCATGGGAAGGGCCTTGGGTAGAGGTGGGGGGATTTCTTTCAGCTAGGTAAGCCCTAAAAGCCTAGCACATTCCCAGGATGAAATGCTGGAGTTGTTGGTGGGAGACAACGCCCAGTACAGGCTCTGACACCTGATCATCCCTGTCCAGTTGGAAATTGCATCTAGACTTAGTGTCAAAATGTAAAGCATTATTTCAGCCACTTAAAAAGAAAAATGAAAATGCCACACATATGTATCTTATTCGGATACCAGAATAGAAGGAACTTTTGGCCTAGATGTGTCTGGAAGGAGTTTTACAAAGAAAAGCTAAAACTGTAAGTTGTGGATTGCAAATTCAAATGGCTACAGGGGCCAGGCAGGTCCTGGAAGTGAATGTCAACAGAGGGGGTGGCATGGGGTGAGGGAGGTGGGAGTGGGGGGTGCAGGGGCAGTTGAGTGGCAGTTGAACTGTATGGCTTCTATGCAGCTCCAGCCAGTTATCACCACAGGGGTCCCCCCAGGCTCCGTGTGACCAATGATTCCTGTTTTTCAAGAGAAGCAGACAGCTGGCTCTGGGGTGAAAAAATTCCCACTTTTTACATTAGCAACAATGAAACCCGTGTGCGGACCTGCATTCCCGACAGCAGTGTACTGCTTCTGCTATGGTCCTTTTCTGACCTTGTAGCCTCCAAACAATTTAGCCGTCGTTTAGGTCAGAGGTTCCTGATCAGATTACTGGGACTCATTCCATATTTCACGATCATGGTCGTAATTTGGGTTTTAGAGTACGAAATCTTGTCCGTGGTTCCCTTTTCAGAAATGTGTCATGAGGCAGACTTGGGATTGTCCTCCAAAGAGCCTTGCTCTTCGATATGTTTTAAAGGGGAGAAGAAAAGGTGGCATGGTGGCAAGCATGCCAGAATTGTGAAAGCTATGGCCTTATTTAGAAACCACAGAGGCGGGTGCTGATAACATTGAAGGGGCCATTTGGACGCTTGGCAGCGTGTGACGGAGACTCTGAGATTGTGCTTGCATTTTACCTGCAATGCCTGTGTGTGCTGGGCTTTGTGTTTCAGGTCCCGAGGAGTGCTCCACCAGTTTTCTGGAACTGACACTGACAAAATCTGGCCCTGTGTTTACGCGGTTTTCTCGAACAAGATCACGCCGATTCAGTCCAGAGAAGCATGCTGAGCCCGGCCAGGGGAAGAACCAGGAAGATGTGCTTCTCCCTCCAGATGTTTCCGTTGTATGTGTAGTATGGTCCCCAGTAGAAGCCAGCTGAGATAGCTTGCAGTATCTTTTCTAGTTTCAATGATGAACTGATATGAAAACTAATGAGTGCAAGGAGGCAATGAAGAGGCTGTTCTCTGCCCTTCGGAAAGAAGGGCCACCCACACATGTTGAAGATGCGTCTGCACACGCCCGTCAAGCCCTTCGCCAGAAAACGAGGACAGGCTGGATTTCAAACGCCGCATAACCCAAGCTCTAGCTGATTTTTGACCTTCATGTGGCCATAGTGGCAGCCTTTTTGCATATGGTGGTGGTGGTCTCTGGGTTCTCCCCACCCCCTAAAGGCTGTTGAACCACAGCACCAGTGGCCTGAGGATGCCCAGGGCTGTAGCCCGGGCTTTGTCCACGTTCTCTGGATGTCCTCCCCTGGAGACAAGGAGGTTGAAGCCAGTTGCCCACAGTGGTCGCTTCTCTGACTTTGAGTGACTGTACCCACAACTTACTATTTTTTTGTTGTTGTTGTTAGGAGAGGCATCTCCCTTGCATCCATGCTCCATAGAAGCTCTGCCCTTCAGACATCCTGGAATGAAAGGATTTGGCTTCTGCTATTTTTATTAGATGGTGTTTATGTTGTTGTTTTTTAAACATCTGTTGCCTCCCCTCCCTTTCTCCCTACAGATCCTTACTGCTTTGAGCCCACTGAGATTCCTCTGTAAGAGCTGAGAGCTAGGGCATGATGTCAGATCACTCGATGCACCAGAACTGAGCTCTTTGAGGGTCTACTTTACACTGCTGATCTGACTCTCATGGGTGGATACTGTTCATTTTTTTGTTGTTGTTGTTGGAAAAAATAATCATCGTTGTAAATCCCCAAAGTAAGAAATATTCACCTACATAAATGTTAAAAGACCATATCTTATGTACTAGATGTAATTAAGACCATAGGGAGTTACTGGACTGAAAGAATTGTTTACTTTTTATTCAAGATAAAAAAAAATGTATTTTGAAAATGCTGCTAAATGTTGATGCCGACAGTGTTTTTCTCCTGTGAGCAAAGTGTTGGCGAAGGGAATGGAGCCTGTGGGGCTGCGGAAACATGTTGCACTAGCTGTGCCTAGACTCAGGATGACAGCTTCACAAGGACGAGGAAACAAAATCTTAATTTTTTTTTCTATTCCAAAGATTCTATAGGGTGGCCATAAAGTCTAAAAAGATGGATAACACTATTTTGTCATTCACTGTAATGTAATATCAATAAATCACTTGTTAACGCTTTGCTTGGTCTCCAGACTTGGTGGCCACCTTGTATAATTCTTGCTCTCCTCTGGGAAGAATGATGAAGTTTATTCCTGTTGCCTTAAAAAATAGCCCTCTTCATGCATTGTGATTATTCCCCTCGAGGGGCCTTTACTATTCCTGGGAGGGACTTCAGTGGACTTATTGCCTTTGGCCTCTTTGGGGAAGGGATAGGAAACGACCTGCTCACTGATTCCATATTCCTCCATCCTTCACTCCCATCTCCCTCCCAGCAAAATAACAACCACAGCCTGTGACACTGTGTCTCACAGTGTTGGCTGTTTCTGAGACTGCCCACCAACCGGGGTGGCCCTTTGCTAGGTGAGACCAAAAAAAGTCACACACCTTTTCCATGGTCTTTGGAAGACGATGCTTATTTCATGCTCAGTGGTCTAAATATATATTATTTCTGGTTTTCTTCAACACACTCCTTCAATGATTTTGTAAAAAATTTTTAAAAAATTGTTTTGGAAAATATTTTGTGAAAAGTAAAATCCAAGGGACAGCTTTTCTTGGTTTTCATTCTACTGCCACACACACAACTCCTTTGCTGTTACGCAGAAATCATTTGGATAGTCTGAGATTCCCCCCTGTCCTCACATGCGGTGGTTCTAACCAGCTCTGAATTCACTTTCTCTCCATTATCCTGACAGGCAGCCCGCTTGCTCAAGACTTAAACATTGCTGTGTTTAATACCCGTTAACTTTAATGCAAGCATAAAAGAGGTACCATTTATCAAAGGCCTACCGACTGGCATGTGCAGTTTCAGGGCCTTTATAAAAACAAGGTGGGGCAAAAATAGGTTTACAGCTGTTCATGGAAAATAATACAATAATCAATAATACAGGAACAAACTTTTATGCCCTCACAACTGTGACCCACCCTGTACTTCGTCTTTCAAGCATCCTGTGAGATAGGCACGCTCCCACATTTATAAGAGAAGGCAAGGTCAGAGATGTGAGGCGTGTTGCCCAGGCCCCTGCTGCCAATAACTGTAGCCAGGACTCACGCTCAGGCTTTCCTGACTCTGCAGCAGAGTTTGCTCCTGGATGTCAACCACCTGTTTCCTGAGTGAGCTTGCTTGTTTTTGTCTTGTATTTAAGAGTGGCCTCACATAAAAAATGGTCCCCTACGTGACATTCCACTTTACATGGTACTGTTCTTAGTTTTCCCTTTGCTTACGCAAAGGAAGCTGCTAGAAAGTCTGAGCCTTGATACTCCTCCGAAACTATTCTCATTTATAGACAAAATAAAAGGCTGCTCATGTACTATAGGCTGGTTTGAGTCCTGGCTAATCTATGGAGAAGGGAATCTCATGTCCCTCACCAACCCTTTTGTGTCCATAGTTTTAAGCCCTTAAAGGGACCATTACCCTTTAGCCACCCTCACCCATGGTGCTCACAGGTAGGTCAGGGCTCCTGGGAGCCTCACTTCTTTCCTGAGATTAGAACAAAGCGCTTGCTCCGACCCCAGGCAAGGCCCTGATAAACTGGTCCTTCCTAAAGTGCTGGCAGGTGAACCAATGGTGATGTGCACCTACACAGGGTAACCCTGACTTTACACCATCTCTCTATATTATATCACCAGGATTCTGAATGCCAAATCCACACCTTAGCCTGCCATCTGATGTGGTGGCGCTGCTTATCATTCACTGTTCTGGCCAACTCGGGAGACTAGCTTCCTGTCTTCCCCACCTTCCCCAGGTCATTCCCTGTCCCCCTCCAGAAGCCACGCTCAGATGTGCCTCCCTTCTCCCCCTTCCCTGCCTGACCCCCAACCTCCATTGGGAAGGGAAAGGAAAGGAGCAATGGGTGAGAGGTACTGCTGTGGCTTTTTCTGCCACTCAAAATGTTGAGACAATAATGTTAGAAAGATACCTGTGCAAAGCCATACATAGGGCTTTTACAAAATGTAATTTACTGGAACCTACATTCAGTATTTGACTTGAGCAGTTTGTCTAAACAATTTACCGGCATGCTGGGTGTATTTGCTCAAATCATAAACATCACAAATTTCCAAGTGTTATGGTATAGGCATCCTGAGCAGTTGCTGGTTATTGCTATTTCATGCTAAGTGCTTTACATGCATTGTCTAATTAAATCCTTAACAATTACCCTAAATGATAGATATTTCAATTACCTTGCCTCCTTGTATTTAGGAACTGAAATAATCCGGTTTACGTGAACTGTTTTCATGGACCTATAGGGATTAATCAGGAAATGAAAAATGGCGTTTTTGGTACCTTTCTCTAGTCTGAGCTCTCCATTCTCATTAGTAGGTAAAGCAACGTATTTGCTCCTGCCTGGCACCTTTGCTTTTGGCGCTCTGGTTCTGAGACAGGAAATGGGCCCTCCCCGGGTCCCAGTGGTCGTTGCACACTGTATACACAGAGGGCATATGTCTCATCTGTACTCTGCCTGTGTTACAGGATCCTGGGAGGCATCCGTATCTACCTGATGAGTTTTGCTTATCACCTTTCCGTGAACAGACAGCAGTTACATTTTCTTGCTGCAGTTAATTTTGCCGGAGAGGCCATTCATAAGGCAGATCATGTTCACGGTATGAATTGCTTCTCCCTTCCCCTCCATTTTGAGTAACTCCCTTGTGTCTGATTGGTGTCTCAAAAGAAGAATGTGGTCTGGTCCTAAGTTATCACCCCTTTTCTGTACATAACGGGCCCAGTCTGGTTTCCAGGGGAGAAGTGTGCAAGACCCAGATGTTGGGGACCCATGAGGCCATATTTCAGCCGTGAAGAAATATCTGCTTCCTGCACCTGTTGAGATGTATTATAATTACAGTTGTTTATAAGTGCCATATCTTATCTTTCTTTTAGCAAATTGCACAGTTCTTGCCAAAATAAATGCCATTATCTAATTACTGTGTGTGAGAGACAGAATGGCAAAGAGAGAGAGATGGTAAAACATTTCCAAAAAGGAAAAAGCTCTTATATGGCATGAATATTCCTTCCTTCCTTAGTGATAATTAGGCTATCCCAAGAAGTTCCGTATCTTTGAAAGAAAAGATTTCCTGCTTAAAACCTTTCGAACATCAGTGCACCCAGACGATTCTCCCTGGGGTTAGTGTGTGTCCAACTCCATTTCATCAAAACTTTTTCTTTATTTTAAAGCTTTGGCTATACAGTCAGAAATGTACTCAGTAAAAACAAACTGAATTGTATTTAATTTATAGGAAAGGGAAGAAAAACAAAAACTCAGTCTTTAGGTCAGCGCCCAGGCGTCAGGAGTCAGAGGGCCCTTCTGGCTTTAGGAGAATCTGTACGACTGATTTTTACATACTCTTGTTTCTGAGATGAACAGATCTCTGGGGGAAATGGAGTTCCAATGGCATTTCACTGTGATCCCTCTCACGCTCAAATCAGTTCTCCAACCCAAGGACAACTTGTTTCTGGTTTACTGCCCTGTGAACCCTCAGCTCACTTTCCCAGAAGTCACGTGTTTACGATGAGTCAGTGCTTTCCCTCAGGGAGAGCCCTTGGCCTTCTTGATTTGGGTATATGTGCTTAATGCAGACTATAGAAACCTAATCTGTAAGTGTTTTAACTGTTCATTGTATTATTATTTTTACTATCTTGCTTGAAGCTTATTCAAACTTTTTGATTTGATAGAAATAAAGTTTTTTTTTCCTGCTTATAACTAGTGAATTCATTTAACATTTGGATAGCTTTTTACACTTGACCATCTTCACAGATATTCTCATTCATGCCGCTGCAAGCACTCCACTACCCACAGTATTTTATCTCCAGTTTACAGATTGGGAAAACAGAGAACACGGTGTTGCCTGGATAAGTTGGTGGCAGGGCAAGATCCTGAACCCGAGAGTTAGGATCCCCAGTCTCATTTTCTTTCCTGCTGCGCCATGTTGCCTCATTTTGTGTACCCTCCAGTATCTTGTTTGTCCAGCACTTTATTTTTCACATGTTCATGGACATGAAAATCTTATTTGTGAAACAACTGGATGATGTGAGCAGGTCACATCATCACATCCTACACAGATCCCATCCTATAGATTAGGAGACGGATCAAAGTATGTGACTTTCAGGTCTCAGCAGGCCCATCTGGCGGGGTTGGCGCCAGGGAGGAAATCGAGCCTCCACTGGAGGAGCCCCCTGTGATAGGGAGGGAGCAAAGGCTCCGGCTTCTCCCAACCTCACACTCCCCTTTCTCCCATGGGTGGGTATGGTGTGGTCTTCCCCTTAGCAGAAGCCAGCTGACAGGAGCCTGAGAAACGTGTTCTACAGGTTTCCACGCCCCTGGAAAGGTGAACTGGATATGATGGCAAGTGGTGAATTGAATTAAAGTTCAAGCCATTCATCTCTTTGGTGTTGTTAATCCTCTCCAGAGGATAGTTTTTCATTGATTTTTAGAGGGAGTGAAAGGGAGGAGAGAGACCAAGAGAGAGAGAAAGAAACATCCATGTGAGAGAGACACATCGATTGGTTGTCCCCAACCAGGGCCGGGGATTGAGCCCGAAACCAAAGTACGTGTCTTTGATTGGAATCAAACCCAGGACCCTTCAGTCTGAGGGCTGATGCTCTATCCACTTAGCCAAACCTCTAGGACAAGCCATTTGTATTTTAAGAGGATTTTGCATCTCTGCCCCATTGGCTTCTTGCTGGCGCATATGATTTGCTCTAGCCAATGGAATGTGAGAAGAAGTGAAGTGTGTCACTTCGGAGCAGGAGCCTAGAAGTTTCAGGAGCCAGAATGTGGACGCCAATCTCATTCTGCAATGATCCTGGCAGTCTCATGGGACTTTTCTTTCAACCTGGATCCTAAAGTGAAGACATGGAGTCTGGGATGCAGCCAGTCCACAATGCAAAAATCAACCTTTGCTTTTATAAGCCACTGAGATTTGGTAGCACAGCATATTGTAGCCCAGGTGACTGATCGAAATGGGCCTAGTGTATGTCATCCAGTTATAGCTTTGATTCTTCATCAAGCACTATTAGGCTCTAGGGATGCAAAGATGAGTAAGACCCAGTTTTTACCCCTTACTTCCTCAGTCTCCTGGAGGGGATGGACATATGATTACATAACTCTACACATACCCGTTAGTTATTCACTGACTTATGCCTGAGGACACAGAGGGGGTCGCTCTTGGCTGACCAGGTAAAGACCAAAGAAGAGCTAATTGAGCTTAGTGATGCAGGAAAGGGAACCCAAGAGGAGGAAAAGGTATGTGTGTTGGGTGAGGCAGGCCTGGGAATTGAAGATAAGATTGAGTTGTATTGGGAAGTTGTGTGGACCTGGTCTTAACTGCTCCCTGGTCTTAACTGAGCCCAGTCTCTATGCCAGAAAGTGATTCATCAGGTTCACACGATAACATTGTAATTGTACTAGAGTCTGGACTAGGATGTGGAAGTTCAACAAAAGGGAATGGTTGGAACAGGAGTGAAAAAGAGTCAAATGTTTCCAGGGGAGAAGTCAGGAACCTAAATGACTGAAATGGAGGCAAGTGTGAGGCAGTAGGGAGGGGCAAGGGCTATGAAGAACTATTTCTAACCTGGGAGTCACTGCTCAACTCTGGGTGATTGTTAGCACCTCAGGAATGATGCCCAGTCATTCAATTTGTGAACAGAAACCAGATATGTTTTCTTGGTGAAATCTTCTGTTTAAATGTTTGCAATTTAAATTTTGATAAAATGGAACAGGCCAAACAGCATATCCATTTGGGGACTTCTGCATTAGAGACATAGGAGGTAGGGATGAGGGTTTTTGTGGCTAGATAGGTAGCTATGAAGTAAAGAGGTAGGCGTTGTAAGGGCAAAGAGTCTGAAGGGGATAATTTTTTAGCTTTGACAACAACAGTGACAAAATGCATAGTTATATTCTCTGCTTTATCAGAGAATACCACCTATTCAAAGAAATCACCTGAGTTTTTTACTCCAGAGTTCAACTGAGTGGGGGTTTTCCCATATTTATTTCAGCCAGTTAGTACATAAACATCCAATACTAAATAAAAACCATACCTGTACCTGGAGAAACTTATGTAAACTATATGTGTACGTGTGAGTGTTTTATATACATATGTGTGTATACAGGCATGGGCAAACATAGGTTTACAGTCATTTGTATAGAAAATACAATAACTAATAAATAATATAAGAATAAACTTTTGTGTACATATAACTAAAAATCTACTTTTGCCACCCCCTGTATATATGTATATGAATGTGCAAATAGAATTATGTGTGCATATATACACATGTGCATGTGTAATAGAAGATAGCAGTTAAGATTTATTGAGGGTTACCTTAGTGCCAGGCAATAGGCCAGCATTGCACAACAGCTACAGATGATGAACCTCAGGTTCAGTGAAATTAAGTTATTAGTTTACCCAGTAAGTGGTAGAATGAAGACTTCAACTCCAATGCTTACTTATGATTAGCCAGCTGTTCTGCCTCATTCTGACTCTCCCTACCCAAAGACTTAGAGCAGTGATAGCCTTCTGAGCTCGGCGTGTCAGTATTTTGAAAAACCCTAACTTAACTCCGGTGCTGTGCCACATATAGAAATTTTTTGATATTTGTAACCATAGTAAAACAAAGACTTATATTTTTGATATTTATTTTATATATTTAAATGCTATTTAACAAAGAAAAATCAACCAAAAAAGTGAGTTCGCGTGTCAGAGGTTCACCATCACTGACTTAGAGGGACCACAATTAAGGGCCCTGAAATCAAGGCACCTTTGACCTTGGGCAGAACTTACAGGAATGGGGGTGGAGAGTCCTGCCACTTGGAGGTGACTAGGACAGGAGCAGTACTGAGACTCCCCTGTGGCCAGCTTTCCTCCTAGCCAGGATCCTAGGTCAGTTTCTTTAACAGGCCTAGAAGGCCTTCATGAAAGACTAGATCTCATATTCCATCAGGAGTTGACAACTTGCACTTCCCCAATCTAGGGCCATGCATCTGGGAAAAGGTAATGTTTCCTGACAAGGAAGAATCAGGGGAAGAAAAATGAATTGCCCATATTTGGATACGTCAGGGAGGAAACCAGCCACTCACTCTCCTCACAATCATGGTCTTCACATAGAAGGGAACACTCTAGATCCACTGACTATGTCACATGCATCAATCATCCTGGGTACATTGACCATCTCAGACTACTCTGGACATACCGACCATCAGGATATTCTACCCTGGACACATTGATCATATGCACCTACCACAATGAGGAATTCTATCAGTGCAATAAGGTCAGGGAGAATGGACTGCAGGCTAAAATTGCTTGGAGACCTGAATGAATCATCTTCTATATTTTATCCGTATAAAAATCTTTGCTGTGTTTTTTTTCATATGCAGCCAATAAAACAGCCCAATTATCTAGTGCTCATATGAAAATCTTATCTAACAATTTATGTATCAGCATTTATCAATTGAGGCTATAGAGTGAGAGCTCTTTGAAGATAATGACAGATGCCTACCGTAAACTGAATTTTTCTACACATCTTCCAATAACCATGCACGTCAAGGGCAACAAATAAAATCACAATGAACTCAACACACAACACAATTATATCTACCATATAACCAGGAAATAGAATACTGCACACTCCCATTTCATTTGAGTTGGGTAGTAAACAGCTGAAATCAGTAGCACCAGCTATCACACCCATGTGGAAGTGGAGAGTTAAGAAGGAATGTTTTGGCAAAAGGAAAGTGCAATGGTGTCCCAGAGAGTCCACACTAAATAGAGAAATACTGAGAACAGTTATGCTGGATTAGAGCACTGGTTAATGGGGAATTAGAAAAGGGGGGTTTGAAAATACATGAGTTTAAATGTGTAAGTATTGAGAGCACATAGTTTTTGTAAGTGAGCAAGGGAACTAGGTAGGAGGGACATCTTTTTTGGAGACTTGGTCATGAAGAGGAAAAAATAAAGAAGTTGGTGGAAATTAAGGTTCCTGCAGAAATTACTTTCATGAAATCTAAGACATACTAAACTCTCCCTAGCCCTTCCCACCCATCAAAGATGCTATTCATCAAAAAAATTGCATTTCACTGTACCAACTGAAGAGAGCAGTCTTGAACTAAGAAAATAGTAAGACACCCAAATTCTTGAACCACATCGGTAGAAACACCTGGTCCAGGAAAATCCAAGTCTTGGAAATAAACAGAAAAAGGAAGTAAACTCCACATAGAGTTACTCTAAAAAGGAAATAAATTGAGAATCAAAATTCTTCAGCTAATGAAAACACTCAAGACCCAGTCTTAAAGCGGAAGATACTATAGCACAACACTCCAGCACAAACAAATGTTGTTAGACAAGCAAGAACAGATATGAAAAAGCACCACAAATCATAAATTCACAAATTCAGAAGAGAAGTGGGCACAAGATAAAAATACATGAAATAAGAATTGATTGAACATAGAAAAGAAAGTGAAGGAAAAGACAATGACCTCAAAATTAGGACTAAATTAAAAGATGCACAAAAAAGTAAAAGTTTTTAAAAATATACAAAATAAACATGGAAAAGTGAAATGAAAATTTCCAAGAGACTAAAACAAAATAGGAAAGATCAAAAAGCTCAGAAAGAAAATAATAGGTATAGAAGACAAAGAAGATCTAACGCACTTATAACTGAATTCTCTAAAGAAGAAAAACAAAATAATACATCAAAACCAAGATTAAAAGCTATAATCCACTAAAACATACAAAAAATAAATAAATCCCAAATCTACATATTGAAAGAATACACAGTGGAATTATGAAATTGACTCAGTAAAGTCAACTTTAGGACATTCTATTATGTCCAAGAAAATTCCTGTAAACCTGCCACCAAAAACACCAACGAATTCAATATATGAATCAAAAAGTGAAGCAACGTTTTCATCATGGAAGGAAATTCTGAATCAAGAATTTTATATCCAGCCAAGCTGACCTTCAATTATCAAACAAATGTGGCAAAAAAAAAATGTTTATAGAGAGAAACCAAGATGGTGGCATAGGTAAACACTGGAAATTGCTGCCTCCCACAACAATTTCAAAAATACAATGAAAAGATAAAACGGACATCATCCAGAACTACAGGAAGGCTGGCTGAGTGGAAATTCTACAACTAGAAGGAAAGAGAAAAGCACACTGAGACTCAGAGGAGCTGCGGAAGTAAAGTGCAGAGGTACAGAGGCTCGAGTGTACCTGAGGACGCGGCTGTCTTTTTGAATCGGGTGGGAGCCACAAGCTCCCGACTGCTCTGAGCTCCAGTTCCTGGAAGTCTCTCGGGATCCAGGACTCATACGGGGAGAAACTGGACTGTCTGGCAGCAGGCAGAACTCGGAACTTGAGGGCGGCTTTCCCTCAGAGGTGCTTGCAGTGATTACCGGGACACTGAGATGCAGGGCCCCTTAGGGCAGGGCTGAGGATCAGCCATAGCTGCTTGCTCTGCCCTGTTGATTTCCTGAGACCCCTTCCCAACCAGGCTGTGGCAGAGGCTTTTGCATATGAATGCCCTGGCCCTTTGCAATCTAAAATTACCTAACAAACTGCAGCTGGGCCAGACAGACCCAGAACTTCCAAGAGAAGGCCCAAGGCCCCACAGCAGCTTGCATTGCTTCACAGCTGGGCCTCATCTGGGCACCTTCAAACCCCAAAAAGGGAAAGGGAATCTGCAGATCTCTTCGTAGCTCCTCCTGGGTAGCCTCAGGCAGAGGCTAAATTAGCACCTCCTTAAATCCAAGAGCCAGTGTACCCAATGGTCAGAGTGAGACCATCCAGATTATAACTCCTCAGATCCATAAGGGACACACTCAGGGGGCAGACTCAGTGAGCACCAAAGCCCCACTGAAGCAAGTCTTGCCC